AAGTGAAAAAAAAAAAAAAAAAAAAAAAATAAGAGAGTGACCTCCTAAATGTTTAAAAGGTTCGCGACCTTTTGTACCTACATCGGAATACGTCCAGACTTGGTCCTCGAAGAAGAAGCATGTCTTGTTAGGGTAGCGGTCCACTCTTTTCTTGAATATTTTCACGACCGTCATGTTGTTCCGACGCTGACCTTTCACCTCGATCTCTGCCGAAATGGCACGGTACAGAAATCTGGAAAATAATTGAACGGTTTTTTGATAAAGACCTGTGTCTTTTGACTCATTTTTTTTTTTCGATTTTTTCGAAAAGCCGACACTAATAGTTTCCTTGGTCTTTTTAAGCCGATATTGGCGTAAATTTTCTCATTCAAATTTTTTTTTTTTTTTTTTTTTTTTTTTTTTTTTGCGCAAACAAAATATCGTCAAAGTCTTTTGTTTTACAGATAGAGTTTCTTTTCGAGACAAAATGTCTTCTTCTTGATTCCGATGATTCTGAATATTCGATGTAAACTCAGAGATGTTACATATTCTTCATCTTTCGAGATAACAGAACTGAAATAAATATATCGATATAAATAATTCTATTTAAATTGCAAGAAAATTGTCAACGAATTAAAAGGTTCGATGAGCGAATTCATTTTCAAAAGCAATTTCTAAGTTTTAATTTATCTCATGAATTCCTTTCGCAGATCTTGCCTAGAATCTTTCCCAATCAATCGCATTTATTTATAAATGCTTTTAAAAACAATGTTATCGCAAAATTACCGCGCCAGACATAAAAACACAAATTAAGTACAAAGTTCAATGCTGATAATGAAATAATAAAAATTTCTAGATAACACATTAACGCCGAGACACCGAGTTCTCGATTTATCGTGAAAAAAATCATCAATAAAACAATTCTTTATTACCTAACCTAAACTCTACCTATTCATATAATAGTAGCGTATTGCTAAAGATACAATTAATATAAATAAGTTTTATTCGCGCGATATCACATAAATCGCGTTTAAATGAATAATATTCGAAAACGAATTAAAAAAAAAAATATATATATATATGTCTTCCGATTTATCGGCAGAGTAATATGTCTAACAATGAACGATCTATTTCCCTTTGTCACGCGTTATACGTATTTTCTAACTTTTTCTTCATAACCGACGATTAAAGCATAAAATTTCCATCAAAGGCATTGAAGTCAAAAAACAATAAATAAATAAAAGAACTTTGTAATACAATGGATTATACGAGCCTTTTATTTGTACATTCTGCGGAAATCTAATTAAATCTTTAAAAATGTTCTACGTCTGTAAAGTGTCTAACAAAAAATTATAAACAGATTTATAATATATTTTGACCACGTTTGGTAGTTCCAGTGGTAAATAATCGTAAATTGAAAATTATAATCGAAAGGAAAAATTCTCCTTCGCCCGCCTTCCTCGTTCTTTTACTTTTTCTCTTCAATTCCAATCATGTGAATTTACTTTTATAACGTTTGAACCTATCTCTTCGTGCCTTCTACCTTTATCAAGATTTTCCAGATTTTCATACACATTTCTGTCTCTACGAATAATCGCGTGTCAAGTCGTTAATGAAACCATCGGGAAATAAATGGAAACTACGACAGATTCAAATTTATTTGTCAATGTATATGCATGTTAAATGCACTATGTCTGTACGATACGATTAATTGCCACGGAACGAACTTTGGAATTTCGATATGCCACAAGAAATGTGAGGCACTCGTGCGACAAAATTGTAGATGCTTGAAATAACATAATTTGCTGATACTTGTATCTTTTTCTTTGGAAATAAATATTACACCGATCAAAAAT